TAGCTGGTAGCAGCCAAAGTCACACACTGTGGCTCCTTGTTCAGTTTGCTAAGACAGGCCTTGCAGGAAGAGGTGGACATCGTGTAATGTTATTTCCTCCCAGTACCCACCTCTGTAATGAAACCCACACATGAAACATTCAGTTGCACAGCAAAAAAAAAAATCCAAGACTGAATTTGTTTCTCAAATGTGGTTTCTCTCTTAGATTTCCAGATTTCCTAGCTGTTCATACAGAGTGCTCCACTTTTTATTGACATTATTTTTGTAAACCTAGCCTACTCTCCCAGCCAGATTTGTGCCAGGAAACTGCAGAGATAGCACTTTTTTCTTTCCCCTTTTAGTGTTATTTGTGCACTTTCTGGAAATAGTCTAGCAGCTCTGGGTACACGTTTATGTCCAGATTTCCAAGGATGTTAAAATAAGGTAACTTGTGACTTACTTATAATTGTATTGTTATTTAAATTACCATTCTTTGAAATCACAGTCAATATTTTGGTGACCATTTTGTCATAGATTTACCTCTGTGCGCACACACAGAAGTTGAATATAATCAGGGTCACATGCATGCTATTTTATCATGGGAAATTTTTTTTTTTAGTCCTTTGAACTTCTTTCCTCTTCTTCTCTAATCACCTTCATCCCTAAGTTAGTCAACCGTATAAAATTTAATATGTACCATTCCCAGTTATTTTTCCAACACATAACACACACCCCCACACACTATTTATTACATTAGCACATAAAACAGAATCAAGTATTTAGAACAGTACCTGAAGCATTGCATATGCTCAAGTATTTTTAAATGAATGAATGATTTTAAATGGTTTGCTTTATAAAAATCACACACATAATTATTCTATATTTCTAATTCTGGCTTCTATCACTCAATGTCTCTAGGTAATCTTACCTCTCATCTTGTAGATTTAATTAATTCTTATGAATATTTGCAATCCCATGGTTGAAAGTAACATCAATTTATTTAACCACACTCTAATTTGATAGTCAGAATGCTTTTATTTTTTGCCACCATAAAGAAATAATAATTAACACCTATTGAGTATTTACCATATGTGAAGCAATTTTTCATGCATATATAAAGATAACAAGTTAAGGTTATTTTCCCTCTGTAGGGGCAAGAAGACCACAGTGCAGGTTTTCTGATCCCTTGCAGACCAGGTAAAGGAGGAGTCAAAGTCCTCAGTAGTTTTTGCAGGTTTTTTATTGGGGTTCACCAGGCATATGGCAGGCAGGGGTGCTGGGGGGCCGGGAGGCTGGCAGGCCTCCCAGCCCCCAACAAGTCTTCACTCTATCTGGGCTCTCTGGCCTTCTCTCTCTCTCTTGGCTTCTGCTGCTTCTTTCTCAGCTTTTCCTTTGGCTTCTGTTCTTCTTGGCTTCTACTGGCGTCCCCGTGCGCCGCCCTTAAAAGCACACTCTTAGCCCAGGTGGATCTCATTTACCTATGCCCACACCCTACACCAGGTGCCCACCATCAGCCATGCATTCAGGACCTCAAGGATCCATCATCAATCCTGACGGCGGGAGGGCAGAAAAGCCTGACATTTTTCCTTACTCTACACCCTCATATAGGAAACTGAGGAGGAGTAAGAAATGTACTAAGGGCTACATAGCCAATAGGTGACGAGCTAGTCAGTGTGTCACAGAAGAAATTTCACTGAACTACTTTCATACAAGGCAGTAATCTAATACAATTGTTCACACATCCTAATGGAATGCTGCTTTTTTTTTTTTTTTACTAGTTGACAGTTTCCCAGTAATGGAATAACTGTAGAAAAATATGTATATATTTTATATTGATAGCTTTGCAAAAAGGCACGAGTACAAAAATGCTCTTTTCTCCAGCAAGTTATCAAAATTTTAAAATTATATTATTCCTTTTCTGTCAACCTCATGAGTGAGAAGTGATATTGTGATATTTCATTGATACACACACACACACACACACACATACTTTTCTGAGGTTGAGCATCATATATTTATCAGCAATTTGGGCCTGTTCTACTATAGTTTGATGTATTAAGTTTCTCCAGAAACAGAACCAATATATGTATGAATGCATACACATGTTTTTATTATATCCAGCCTATGGAATAGAATAAACTATTTAGGACAGTGCTAGAATATTGAGTGTATACATATTTGTGTGTGTATATATGTGTGGGTACTTGTATGTATGGGTGTATATATATCTATTTTTTCTTTCCCCATGTAATTATGGAAGGTAGCAAGTCCAAAATCTGCAGGGTAGACCACTAGGCTAGAGTGTAGGAGAAGAGTTGATGCTGCAGCTCAAGTCCCAAAGCTATGAGATTGAATATCCAGCCCTCCTTCCAAGACATTTGCAACAGCTGAAACTTTTAGTATAATAGACTTTCTTCAGTTGCTGATGGTTATACTGATTGCATCTGAAGTCTAGCTTGCCACTTACTAGTGACAGAATTCTTTAAAATAAAGATAAAACTTGCTTCATAGGGCTTCTGGGAACACTAAAGGAATCATTTCTCACTTTATAGCTTTCCCCTATCATTCTATTATACAGATTTTTCTTTTTCTTTTTTTTTTTTTAGCAAATTTTAAGACTATAGTATGAAATCACTACCTGTCATCTATAAAATACACAGGATGAAAGCAAAAATCTTAACATAATCGTGTGTCTTGGAATCATTGGTCTCTAAGCAACAGTCTGCTTTATAAAATGTACCTCATATAGGAATATCTAAATTTTTTTAAAGATTTATTTATGCATACAAGAACTGGGGTACAGGCCAGAGGTGTGGGGGAGTAAGAGGATTCACCAGAGACAGAGTGGGGAACAGAACAGGCAGACTGACTGAAGTACACTGCTGAGGGGAGCAGCGGGTGAGGCAGGAGAGGTCTGCTGCACCATGTTGGTAGCTCCCTGGCTGGGAATTGAACTCGTGCTTCAGTGGCCACGGATAGCTTCGTAGGTTGCCTCAACCCCTTGCGCCACCAGGAGGCCCCAGGAATACCTATTTTTTTTTTTTAAGAATTTTTAAAAAAGATTTATTTATTTATTTATTTATTTATACATGCACTGGGTACAGTCAGAAGCGCGGGAGGGTGAGAGAATTCACCAGAGCCAGAGCGGGGAGCAGAGCAGGCAGAAGGACCGAAGTACATTGCTGAGGGGAGCAGCGAGAGCGGTCTGCCTTGTCATGTGGGACGCTCGCCTGGGGGCTGGGGATCCAACCGGCGCTGCAGAGGCTGCGGGCAGCTTCACAGCCCAGAGCTCAACTGCTGCGCCACCGCGGAGGCCCGAATACCTAATTTTTTATAAACGATACAGGAGACGAATTTCAGATAACCCTTCCCTTTTTCATTAGTGGAAAGTAGTTAATCTTATGCTACAGAAAAATTTTGAAATGGCAAGCAGCAAGACCAAGTATCAAAAGGAGTCTTAACTTTAGAATGTCTAAAAACTTTTAGATTCCTAGAACTGTAGAGAGTTGTAGCGGTGATAAACGGCACAACTCGATACTTCAGAAGTGTTATTTAATTAATTATTACCCCTCTGACTTGAATAGAGAAATACCCAGACCCTAGAAAATTACCGTCAGAAACAATAACATTAAAAGCTTACCTTCCAAAATATTGTCAATCTTAGAGATTTTTTGCTTTAACTTAATGCAAGTGTCTCACAGATTCACAATAAATGTTCGCTATTATCATCCCTTCTTAATGTGGAGTATCATATAGTCTCATATTTATACCACCAATTTAGTTGATGACCATACACTTATTGAATGAATGAAGGATATCAATGATAGTCCCGTTGCTTCTGGGCAAACCCTTGAATGTGGCGTCTCAGGTTAGTTACTGTTATCACTAGAAAATTACTCATAAGAACAATTTCTATTTCCAACAGTGCTAAACTCTAATTCCCAGAACGCAGTCTCCGTGATTGCTGGGCATCCTGTGAAAAACCTCCAGCTCTAGATTCAGCGCTCCAGATAAGCAGTGTAGTTTCTGCAAATATGGTAACTACAGTCCCAGCTCACAGTCTCCATGGTTGGTGGGCATCCTGGGAAAGAAAGCCAGCATGCTAAAAAGAAACTTCTCCAAAGAGGAAATGCAAATGGCCAACAGACATATGAAAAAATGTTCAACATCACTTGCAATCAGGGAAATGCAAATCAAAACTACCGTGAGATACCATCTTACACCAGTGAGAATGGCACATATTTAAAAAAGTAGCAACAACAAATTGTTGGCGAGGTTGTGGAGAAAAGGAACTCTCCTGCACTGCTGGTAGGAGTTTAAACTGCTCCAACCACTATGGAGAGCTGTATGGAGATTCCTCAGTCTGCTAAAGATGGAGCTTCCATATGATCCAGCAATTCCACTTGTAGGTATTTACCCAAAGGACACAGAAACATTAATTCCAAAGAGCACCTGCACCCCTATGTTTATAGCAGCACTATTTACAATAGCTAAGCTATGGAAACAACCCAAATGCCCAAAAACAGATGACTGGATCAAGAAGACGTGGTACATATACACCATGGAATATTACTCAGCATTCAAAAAAGATAAACTCATGCAATTTGCAGCAACATAGATGGAACTGGAAGGGATCATGCTCAGCGAAATAAGCCAGAAAGAAAAAGAGAAATACCGGATGGTCTCACTTATAGCAGGAATTTAGAAAACCTAAATAAGGGACCAGGAAAAAGACTAACTACAATAAAGAAAAAAATCAAAATCAACAAGCAACTATAAACCAGAGACACACTGTGGGGGGGAGGGGAGGAGGGAGTAGGATCAAAACAAGGGGGTTGGGAATTGCATGGGGAATATAACCAAGATGAAAATGCATACATTGTGCAAAAAAGGAAAAATGATTAAAAAAAAAAAAAAAAAAAAAAAAAACTAGCACACCGATTTTTCTCTTTCAGCAAATAACCCGGCTAATTTCTGCAAATACGGTAGCTCAGTTCGGCGCGAACTGAGACTGCGCAGATCTTTACCTGAGTTCAGCGGAACTCATTTTGATTACCGGGGTTTTCGAGGGAGGATTTAAGAAACGGTTCACTTCCGGTGCCACCGGAAGTGGCTTGAAGATGGCGTCCTCCTCGCTCAACGGGGTGGGCAGAGCGTCTGGGAAAAGCGAATTTCGTAACCAGAAGCCGAAGCTAGAGAACAGAGGTGAGTTTGCATGAAAATCGCAGCCTGGGGTTTTTGTGGATGTTGAGTTGGGGTTTGTTTCTCGCAGCCTGGGAACGTGTAACTCCGCCTTATGTCTGTTTCGCGAAGCTGAGTACCTGCATTTGCTGACGACTGGCGGCGCCGGGCCAGCGTGGTGCCGTCCGCAAGTTCCTAACTCATCACTTTTGCTAGAGGCCCACCCAAGGGGCAGGTGTTGCGGAATCAATATTCTGTAAAAAGAGATGAGAATTCAGAAATGGCGGGCGGCGCTGCAGGGCCGTGCATGCACGGCGGGGCTGGAAAACATTAACAAAATAAGGAATAGGAGGAAGGTGGTTCTATCAGCGAATGAACGCTGATAATGAAAAGTGAGACAGTGATATGGAGAAGGAACTATCGAACGGGTCCTTAGCGCTCGTTGTCAGTTAATGACACTTCGGAACCTTTTTTCTTGTTTGTCCGATTGCTAAAATATTAGACTACAAAGTTACTCTTCTTTAGATTGCCCTACTTAAATTGCTGTCTTGCTTTGTAGTCTAGTGTTACCCATTTCCTTCAGTGTGAAAGACAGGAAGCGCTGCTAGAGAGATGACCTCGGGCCTGCTCACCCTGTCTTATACTGGAAGTGTTAAAAACCTTAACCTCTTCGTTTTATAGGCATTGGAGAGGTGTTGTAGGTGTTTTGTTGTTTTTTAGTATGTAATGTGCGTAACAGTACTGTATATTTAGGGGTTGTAGAATATAACCAACAGTCGACAAAAGTGCACTCAGGTGTTGAAGTAGAATAAGGCAGCACCTTCTCCCCAAACTTCCCTGTCAGCATCTCTCAGATCATATTGTTTTCTGGGACCTGAAGTTACTTTTATGAATCCTGTTGATCCATTTTTTTTTCATAACTGTTACTATCTATGCACAAAAATGTTCTAGTTTTGTCTGTTTTTAAATTTTATATGATTGAGAGAGGGCTGTTGGTATCCTCTGTCATGCTGCTTAGACTTAATTTTGTTTTTATTATTTGGGTAATACTTTTAGCTGTTATTTATTTTTTTTCACTGCTATATGATGTTCTCTTGTGTGAATATATTCTAATTTACATTTTCATTCAGCTATTGGTGAACAGTTCCCATTGCTGTTTAAAACAATGCTGCTATAAACATCTTTGAACACATCTCCTGGTTAACATGTTCAAGGGTTTCTCTAGGTTATGTGCATAGAATTGGAATTCTTGAGGTTTAAGGTATGTGCAAATATTTCTAGATCTTTCCCAAAGAAGCTCTGTTTGTTTGCATTCCCATTAGTAGTGGATGAGGGTCTTGCGTTATATTTTTTAAATTTTTATTTAAAAGGGTTTTATATTTATTTTTGTTTTTTGTATTTGTGTCATTTCAGTAAGTATGAAATGGTATTTGTTGATTTTAACTAAAACTTCCCTGATGCATGCACATTTCAACTGTTTATGGGCTGTTAGTACTTCTTCTATAGTGAAACTTTTTATTAGCCAGGTGTTTTTTATTGTTTAAAATTTACAGTCATTGAGATGTTTAAATTGAGTAGAGACATGGACGGTGTTATATTTTAAGTAAACACTATTGTAGACTTTGAGGGTTTTTTAATTTTATTTTTTAAGATATTAGAAAGTAAATGGTATATGAAGACTAGCTAGTTCTCTGTGATTTGAGGCAGAAATAGCGAAGTGGATGTGAGTATAAGAACTAGAAAGCAAGTTTACATACTCGAGTCAATAACATGAACTATAAACACTTGCTTTTTAAATTAATATGCATAAAAATCTCCTGATGATAATCTTAAAACACAGATTCTTGGGCTTCATGACAGGATTCTGATTCAGTAGGTCTTACATGGAGGCCAAAAATTGCATATCTAACAATCTCCCAATTTATGTTGATGCTGCAGTCTGTGGATCATATCTTTAAGCAATGCTGAAATAAAGTATAGCAATGGAAACTAAGAGGTTCTTAAAATTCAGGACTAGGGTTTTAAATAAACGATTGATGAGATAATTATGACCCTTAGGAGGCATTTTGTTTTAATGAAAAGAGACCTAAATTGAATGAACTGTGTGTTCTCTTTAGGCATGAGGAGGTTACAGAAATAAGGCACTTGAGAACTCTGGAAAACTTAAAAGCTCAATACCAGTGATTATTAACTGAAAGTACCAGTATTAACTGAAAGTACCAGAATCAGCTTTTCAATGTTTTAGGTACATGCACACATTTATACACACGTACAGTTATTATATTTTACTTATATTTTTAAAAAGTTACTTATATTTTAAAAAGTCATGTAAACAAATGATATTTGAATCTTCAACTCTATACAACATAGTGCAATAGAAGTTCCTTGAGTACCCACTGGCTGCCAGGCATCTGCCACTTAGTACCAGTTGAAGGAGGAGAGCCCTTCCCTAAGGAATGTCTTACGAGGAGGCTGAAATTTATGCAGTTTTAATACAATGTGTTGATAATGACAGAGGTATATTCTTTGACTATTGAATAATTTAAAAATTGCAGAGGAAAAGGAAATGTAAGGAGAGTAATGGGAAATTTGTGGATGAATAACATGTTCAGAAAGTGTCCAGAAGAAAGTTAAAATCTGGTATGTAAATTTTTCCCCCTCTGTAGATGAATCAGAACTCCTTACTGTTCCTGATGGTTGGAAGGAACCAGCTTTTTCCAAAGAGGACAATCCCAGAGGACTTTTGGAAGAGAGCAGTTTTGCCACTTTGTTCCCAAAATATAGAGAGGCTTATTTGAAAGAGTGCTGGCCACTGGTACAGAAAGCCTTGAATGAACATGTATGCAATTTTTTTTGCTCTTGCTTATACTTTAAGTAAGTGAATGTGTGCTGATGGATTTTTATTAAAAGGTACTAGCTTAGCTGGTTAACTTGGTTCCTTTGTTATCTTAAACAGCCTAAGAAAGTTAAGTATTGCATTCATTTCTTTTTTTATTTTGTGAGTAATTTAGTACTTTGAAAATTCACATGTCTTTAAGTTTTTAGGGGGTTGCATACACTACCTGAGACTCTCTTCTGAACTTCAAATTTCAGAACGTCTGTTCTATGCTATGATACTTGCCACATACCTGTAGAATTTGAACTGAGACATGGTCCAAACTAATTACATAGCTTTTCATTTTAAGTGAAATGAGTGTGCTTTCCCTGTTTGTTGCTGCTGCCATGCGCATAGGGCAGTGATTTGTTTTTGTATTTCAAACTCTTTAGTGAATTGCAAAGTCAATTTAGTAGATATAACAAGCCTTAAACATAATCACTGAATCACATGTGATAAGGGTAAGTGTCATGAAGCTTTTGGTTCATGTGTGTGTGTGTGTGAGTGTGTGTGTGTGAGAAAAAATGTATTTCTCAACTGTGGGAGTGCTCTGGAGTCCTTTGTGGTCATTGGGTATGAGGGTGGTCAGCAAACTGCAATGTTTTACAGTCTACATCTGGAATTGAACTTGTTTTTTGGGGAGGGGTGGAGGATAAACTCATAGAGCCCCATCCTTTTGTTGAATTGTACATCAGTCATTACACTGAAACATTTTTCAGATTATGTTCACAAGTCAGAAAATAGCGTTTGTATATGCTTTATTGAAATCTGGTTTTTCTTATTGAGAGTTAATGCATAATATTGCTAATTATTGCTTCTTCCTGATCCTTTGATAATTTGTATTTACCTTGTTTTTAACTGATACAAACCAGCTGGCAAAAACTTTGAAAGGGAAAGTTCATTCTCAGAGCAGATTGTTGTTTAGAGCTGGGTCTACAATAGGGAATTATGTAACTTTGCAGTTTTGCCTTCATTCTTGAAATATGATCTCATTTGTATTGATATGTACATTTAAAACTAGAGCTATTTTTATTCCAGTAAATGCAAAGTATTTTAGAGCCAAATATTAGTTTATATTTGTCTGAGTTTCTTTGAAGTATGTAAGTAATTAAGTAATCATTATTTAGATTAACTACCCAGCTTTGTTAAGGTGGGAACTGATAGAATTTGAGGGGTAGCTTATTGGCACAGAAATTAATGGTTTGATTAAGATAGGTCCTATAATTAGTTGAATAATTAATTGAAATCATTGTTAGTCAACTCTTTGCTTGCTGTTTCTTTTTGCAGCATGTCAGTGCAACACTGGACTTGATTGAGGGCAGCATGACTGTTTGTACCACAAAGAAGACTTTTGATCCATATATCATCATTAGGGCCAGAGATCTGATAAAACTATTAGCAAGGAGTGTTTCATTTGAACAGGTAAATTTAGAGTTACAGAGACTTTGCTTTGTTTGCATTAGTATCACATCCTCCCCAATCCCAATGCGTATATCTTCTCCAGAGAGTTTTTCTTTTTGTATCATCAGCCTGGGCATGGAAAAGAAACCTATTTGTAAAGAATATTGACAATATTTCTTTATCTTCCCAAAGGCAATACGAATTCTTCAGGATGATGTAGCATGTGACATCATTAAAATAGGTTCATTAGTGAGGAATAAGGAAAGATTTGTTAAAAGAAGACAACGGCTTATTGGTCCTAAAGGGTCTACACTGAAGGTACTTTAATCAGTGGAACACTTGATTATCTTTATTAGTTTTCAGTATACTGAATTTCAGCTTAATTTTCTTTTTTGATAATAGGCATTGGAACTCTTAACAAACTGTTACATCATGGTTCAGGGAAATACAGTGTCAGCCATTGGACCTTTCAGTGGCTTAAAAGAGGTGAGAACTATTTACTATCTTCACTTAATTTTCAGCAGAGGACAGATTAAATAATTTGGTTTTAATAGTTCATTCGATGTCTTGTTTTATAATTTTTTTTAGAATGTGCTTTGATTGATTTCCCATTGGTAAGTACTTTGTACTTAATATAATTTGAGGGCTATATTATTTTGGCTACAGAGTAGGCAAACTTTGGTGACTCCATCCATATCTGAAATAGGAGGTCTGTGCATCATCACCTCTTCCACCACAAATTTTTAATGGATATTTAATATTTTATGAGATCATATGAGAAACGTGATATAGTGACATATGCTCAAATGATTGGAGAATTGACCAGAGATCTTGTTATTTGCAATAACAAAATAGTTGGTAGATGTCAGACACTAAAAAATTTCCTGTAAGATATATTTTCCTTTATTTGAATTTTAGTTTCATGTTTTCATGAACATTTCCTTTAACTTGTCAAATTGAATGCAATGAGAAAAATCTATGGAGCAGGTGCAGTTTCTTTAACTTTTGATGATGGTGTAGTCACATTCTGGCTGGGGCCTGTAATGTAATTCTGCTGGACCTCCTTCTCATAAGTTACCTGCCCTTTTCTCATGGGGCAGTAATAGCTTAAATATATTGAATATTTCATAGGTTAAAGACTTCAATTCTTACAGTAGACTCTTTGAAATAGTTTTATTTCCATATTACAAATGAAAAAACTATAATAGGAAAATTGACTTTTCCATATGAAGTGGCAGTCCCATCGTTTGATCCTACATTTTTTGGTTGTAAATCTAACCCTCTTAGGCCAGAGTCATACAATTCCAGAGTGTTGTATTCGTTCTGTGTGCCACATTTTAGTAGTAAAGTTGGAAAACTATTGTATCCAAGGAAGGAAGATCTATAAGCCATTCAGAATGGTCAAAGGAACTGTCTTCAATTTGGTCACCATTACCTTATTCATAGGATATTTTTAATATGTAGATCCTTTTCTGCTAGTTCCTTAAAATCTTTGTGAGTAATTTTTCTCTGCAAATTTCAGGTTCGAAAAGTAGTCCTAGATACGATGAAGAATATTCATCCAATTTATAACATTAAAGTAAGTGTTATATTTTACTATAACAGTAGCTGTCCACTTTTAAATATAGAAATATTTCTTGAAATTAAGTCTTTTATGAGATATTAATATACAAAACAGATAAAGCTGAACTATTTAGGGTAAATTAGAAGTAGAGCTTAGCCCCCCGCCCCCCCAACTCTACCCTAGTCCTGTAGTTGCTTTCTCAAAACTTGGCTCTTTGTGGAGTACATCTTGAAAACCACTCAAGGGGGTACAATAGCATGTTATGGAGTTCTAACACAAAGAAAACCGGCTTTGTAGAACTTGTTTAGATGATGTCAGACCAGTTTTCTTAATTTATGAGCCTATGTATTATGTTTAAAGTTGTGATTTCTTAGAATCTGCCTTTTACTTAAAACTTTCAGAACTTGACTCTCAAATTTTAGGCATTTTAAGAGGTATGTGTTATATATCTTGTACACAAAGTTCATGATTATACTTGGAGATAAGCCATGGTTTCATGAGCTATTTTAAGATGGGTATTTGTTGAGCAGTCCATTTAAATTTCACAAAGTTAAGTTTTTAAGTCAGATTGGAGCAAAAAAAGGATTTTGTGTTATATTCAGACATTAAAGGTAGTCATCTGATGTCTGGTTTGCATCATTTGTTGTTTTGATATCTATAAAATTCAGCTGTGTGGAATTAATGTGAGAATATTGGTTTTGTCTGATCATGAGAATTTACTTTTTCTTTCCCTGTGATATTTCAGGTGCTACTAAAAGCTTTGTGGTTGCAGGGAACTTTGATAATTGAGAACTCTCTCTTCTATTAAGTTGAATTTTAAAGGTTTTAATGAAATAAGGCTAAAAGGCTGAGTTTGTCTCTTTCATTTCAGTTTAACAGTTCATTTCTTAATTCCTAGTGGGCTTTTGATGCTTGTTGTACATCTTTGAGATCACATGTTGTTTTAATCCTACAGAAGAAATTAAGAACTTCTTCTAGGTGTTTATAGGATCAGTATATACATTGTCTTAGCTTGACAAATAAGACTTTTGAAATTAATATTTTTACTCTGTTCATGTATTGCCATGACTAAAGACCTTAATGATTAAACGAGAGTTGGCAAAAGATTCTGAATTAAGATCACAAAGTTGGGAAAGATTCTTGCCACAGTTCAAACACAAAAATGTGAATAAACGGAAGGAAGCAAAGAAAAAGACTGTTAAGAAAGAGTATACACCTTTCCCACCACCACAGCCGGAAAGTCAGGTGAGTATATAATATTGAATTTCTTTACCTCAGGGTAAAGAAATAATTTATCTATTTGTCAGAAATTTTATTAATAGTATTTTGGGGGAACATTCTGTGTGTGTATTTAGGTGTGTAGAGCTATAAAAAGGCAATGCTAAGTGTAAATGGACTCATTTTGAGCCAAGTGCATGGGGTGGGGGTATAGGGGGCGCCACATTGTGAGTGTAAACTGTATCAGAGACACTTGGTGTCCCTGTTGCATCTAAATATTCTATGGAGAAAGATATAAGCGATTTAACCCACAATGCTCTATACTTAGCTTTAACATGTTACGTGTAACCCTGTGCTGTTGATGGTTCTAGTTTTGCAGCTTGAAAATTCTGATACCCTTTTTTCTAAGTTGTAAATGCCTCTCATTTTCTCAACTGTCTTAAATTTTCTCGTTTGCCTATCTCTGCCTCACCTGCCCAATAAAACTCTAAAATTTGGATTAGTGTTAAAATTTATCATCTTTCTGGAGAAAGTCATATTTTTGGATTATATCTACTATATATTCATGTTTCCAGCCTCAGATAGTTTAATATTGTCTGGTGGTCTGTCTTCTTCATTTCTCTTAACACTCTCCCACTCCTAACAGATGACATTGTATTTTATTTTACTGAAATATTGAACATCAAATTCTGTCTTTACTTATCTCCTGAGGAATCTTAGATCCTTCTCCCTGTTGACTGTATTTGTCTTCACTCTCAACTAGTTATCTGTGCTCAGCACATAAACATCCCTTTCTGTGCACTGTCTTGTTTTCTACACAGCCTTGTATTTGGAGTTCAGGAAAGGTTTGAAAAAGGTCAAAGAGAAAAAAGAAATGGTGGTAATCGTGGTTTAAAAAAAAACAACAGTGGAAGTGTTGGAACATGAGTTCTGTTCTGGAAAGGAAAATAAGTGAAGCCAGAAAGAAACTGATGCTTACAGGAAAGTAATTAGTTACTGAATCATGCTTCCAAACACCTGCTCCACTTCCTAGAGCCCTGTCCTGTTAGTAGTTATGATTGTATTTTCTCCCAAGCCTGTAAGCTTCTTGAAACAGGCATGTTTCCATTGACTTACTCTGCCATTTATTTACTGTGTGACTGCAGGTAATTTATTTAACCCATCCATGGCTTAGTTTTGCCATACAGAAATAATGATATGGTGAATAATACCTATCTCAAAGACTTATTAAGGATAATGTTAGTAACTAAAGAGTTTAGTAACTGTTAAGATGTTAGAACATTCCTTAAATATGTTGTATAAGTTTGATAGATCAGATAATATATATATGGAATAAATGAGCTGAATAGTTTTCTGTTCTTAGTATTTACTCACCAACTGCTGACAAATCTTGGTTTTCAATTTGTATGCCACTCCTTTTACTCCAGGCTTTTTTCTCTCTTCTTCATACTGTCTTATATACAACGCTGCTTTCCTTGCACTAATCTTCTCAGAAACCTTCAGTCATTTATAGGTCATCCTACCTCCTTCAGCTGAGATTTGAATTCCTTCAAGCTTTGCCCAAACTATCTTTGTAGTTTTCTAGTACACTTTCTCTATCATTGCCTTCCGCGTCTACCTAAAGCAATCTGTTACATTACCTACTTTCTGCCTCCATGCTTCTATGTGTGTAGTCCCCTCAGCTTAGGGTACTTTTCTTTCTTTTAATGTTGCTCCTTTATAAGCTAATGTTAGATATTTGCTCCCACTGTCTAATTTGCCCAAGGACATTGTGACTTTCTTAGGAAGTGACTTCTCATGTACATTGTTTCTAATGTCATTGTAAATACTCATTTCAATAGATTGATAAGGAATTGGCTAGTGGCGAATACTTCTTGAAGGCAAGTCAAAAGAAACGACAGAAAATGGAAGCAATAAAGGTAACATTTTTAGCTCACATTAATAACAAAGTGCAATTCTTACCTATAAATTGTGTTTACAAATGTATTTTTAAAATTAATAATACAGGCAAAACAAGCTGAAGCTCTCAGTAAAAGACAGGAGGAAAGAAACAAAGCTTTTATTCCACCTAAAGAAAAACCAGTTGTGAAACCGAAGGAAGGTAATGTTTATTTTTCAATTCTTGGCATGATGCGAAAGTCTATGTGAGAAGTAAACGCATACTACAAAGAGTCTGAATTGCTTTGAATATAAGTAAAGAAAGAGTCATTGTCAATCAGTTGGCTTAGCATTTCATTAATCACTAATCCAAGGACAAGATTTAACAGAGGTAGTTTTAATTTAGTAGCATCTAATGCCTATTTAAGAGTATCCTAGATTGATAGTCCTCGCCTAAAAGTCTTATCACCGTAGGTTAAAGTACACCAACAAAATCACAGGAAGGTCTTATTTAGGCACTATTAAAAATACACTCAGAAAAAACACTCAGTGTTTAACAACTTTAAAAATACTATATGCTGTTACGTAAAAGTTAAAAATAATTAAATATTATTTCCTGTTTGTAGATTCTATAAGCTATGTGCTTTGAAAGAGTCATTAGCTAGTTTAACTTCAGTTTTATAACCACTAAAAATGTTAGCTGTTTAGAGACTTTAAATCTCTGCTTCTCAAGATACTGGGTAGTTGGATGTTTTGTCTTACAGTTTTTTTTTTATATTCTGAGTGTTTTTAAAATAGTAGGGAAACTGCATTTTTCCTTTCTCTGTTTTGTTCACTCTGTTGGCATTGACTAGATGGAGGTCCTCTTAACAGAGCCCACCAAGTACTCTTATCTTTATTGCCAAAACCTTATTAAATAAAATACTACTGCTTATTCATTGAACTGGTATTAGGAAATCTTTTAAGTTTTTACGTGGTATTAGATTAAGGAGACTCACATAAAGCTTCATGATTAGTTAAAATTATTAAAGCTAGAAGGGCTACATGTGGTATTATTCAGGAAATGTAATTTAAAATTATTTTTATGTGCAAGATCGAAAATTGGCATATTAACAAATACACTCTTCTATACTTTAGAACTCCAGAGTAAAAAATCTAGTAAAAAGTAAAAAATTTAGTAAAAAATCTAAAGTATGATTTAAAGGAAAAAATGTATTTTTAATGTACTTAAATCCAGTAATTGGTTCAGACAGCTAAACCATGCCATTTTCATGTGTACTTTAATATTTTTCAAGTACAAAAACTCTGTGCTTAATGTCATGAATAGGTTCTTAGAAACTGATTCAAAACTGCAGAGTTTATAGCAGGCCAGCAGAAGCAGGTTGTCCTTCCTAGTGCTGTACATTATGATTTTGTTTTACCGTAGTTTGAAGATTGCTAACTTTCCTAACTTTCCTTTAGGCAGTTATTTTATAACATGACCTTTCAGTCATACAGTACTTTGAAATTACTATCCTATATAGACTAGTCTCTGTTCTATGTGGTATAGTCTACAGAATTACATGTATTATGTTTCTAATTTGTCTAGCTTCTTGTGAAACTAAAATTGATGTGGCTGTCATCAAAGAAAAGGTTAAGAAAGCAAGGAATAAGAAACTGGGAGCTCTTACAACTGAAGAAATTAAGCTTAAAATGGAAGTAGATGAAAAGAAAAAGAAGAAAAAAAAGTAACATGCCAAAAGAACCAAACTGTAAACTAGAATTTACTAAGCTGTCTCCTTTTGTAAAGGATTTTGATGTTAGGCCATTTATTGCCTTATCTATGAGAAGTAATATGCTAGTCACCTTTTTTCCTGAGTATTTTTGTTTTAAATAATTGTTTATATAAGCAGCTGTTCTTTATAAAGTATCCTCAGTGCTTTTTGAAAATTTTATACTTGAAAGTGGTATATGTGTCTTTGTATATATCACACCTTGCCTGTTCTGGCGTAAGCATGATTTTAGGAGTGATTCTCTTTAGCTTATGTATCTAAAGACTTTTGGAGATGTGGCTATTGTTATTCATCAAGTTCAATGTTTGACATCAATGGTTCCAGCATCTGGTTTTAAGGAAAATATTTTTCAGTGCTTTCTCTTCCTCTCTAATGACAAGCAAATGTTTAAGCTTATTACTTTTTGTAATCTCATTTTAGATTTTGTAAAGATTAACTTATAAGCAAAACAAACCCCAAAACAAGACCTCTAAATCATATCCTTGATCACTAGAGTCTGAGAAAGTAGTAAACCAGAAAAATTTCAAATTGCGAGAGCAAGGGAAATCAGTGTAGAGGTGAGGTAGTAGGCACAAAGTCAGGTAGAAGTGCTTTGCCATAGGGGGGGCCCCCAGTGGCGCAGCGGCAGAGCGCTGGGCTGTGAAGCTGCCCCCCAGCCCCAGTCAGCGCCGGTTCGATCCCCGGCCACCGGGCCAGGATGCCGGCAGAAGCGCCCTGCCTCAAGCGTTTTGCCATTGTTGCCATTGGGGGCCTCCCTGGTGGCACAGCAGCTGAGCGCCGGGCTGTGAAGCAGGTCAGCCCCAGCAGCGCCGGCTCGATCCCCGGCCACCGGGCTAGGTTCACATGGTGCACAGACCCCCTCCGCCGCCCACTGCCCCCCCAGCAGTGCACCCCGGTCCCCCCCCCCGCCCTGGCGAACTCCCCCACCCCCCCGCACCCCTGACCATACCCAGCGCCTGCATAAATAAAATCTTTAAAAAACACACACCAAAAAAGTTTTGCCATTGAGTGCCAGCAGAATTTAGGATCAGGCTAAATCAAACTTATTTGACAGATTTAAAGGCAGCGGCACAAAGGAGTTGGTTACTTAACTGGAAGGTTGCAGCTGTGGCAACCAGAAAACACTTAAATTCATAGAAACATAGAAGGTAAAGATGAGTTTATCCTATAGATTAGGAAGTTGAATCGTTTTGTTATTGGGCAGGGTGAGGGGTACCCTGGAACCCCCAAACCTGCCTGCACTATATGGGTTCTGCCATCTGCCACATCAAGACAGAATATACTCTAGTGAATAAAACCTTCAATAGAAAAGACTTAATGCAATTAGTGTGCAATAAAGAGAACTGATAGATAAAATAGTTTTTACACGAAACACCCAGTTACCTATCCCCTTGTGGGTAAATGCTCAGCCAAACAGGGTTGGTCCAAAGCAGGGCCACTGAGGCCCATTAGTTTACCATAAGTCTAAGGCACCTTCTGGTGGGAACCCATGAGAAGGGTAGAAAGGGCTAAACAAATCTGGAAAGACGAGAGCAAAATCAAAATCCAAGTCAAGATAAAGGCTGCTATTGTAGCCTTCCCCCAGGTCTCACCCATTATGCCCCCCAAGATCCTGGCATAAGTCCATGGTCGAGAAGCAAAGGCAGCTTCTTCACATGTCTCTTCGCTCCGTGTGCCTCTTGACTTTTTTTCTTCTCCATCTCTCCTCCATCTCTTGCTTCTCCTTAGCCAGGTCTTCTCTCCTTTTTCAGGTCTTCTCTCAGACTTTTCTAGTCTTCTTCCTGCCAAGTTCTACCTTTCTTAGGAGGGGACAGGTAACCTGGAACCTCCTTTTCCCTGGAGTTGCCCTATTACAGTTTGTTGTTTTGACTAAGTTCACTGCAACACTTTTTCCTTAAATGTTTGTTAGAAATACACCCAATTGTTGTAAAAAAAAAAAAGAAAAGCCACATAGGAATCTTTTTTTCCTGAAATATATTAGTGCAAAAGAACTTAGTGACAGTATCTTTGTTTGATAAAAATGGTAATTATAGCACTCAATAATAGAATAGGTGGACTAAGAATGAGAAAAAGAGACAGATTCTTATTACGGGGATATAATGGCCGATCCGGAGGGTGGTAACCTGTGAAACAAACTATAATAAATATTGTTCCATATAATGCAGTAACAATTCACATAGGTCTTAATGAAACAATTTAAGATTTATATACATACGTGTGACTTTGTCTCGCCTTGGGTTAGCTATAAAGTCAAAAAAGAAAGAACATTAAGAGAGTAGGTACTAATAAGGCTTTTGTTGCAATTTTTTAGAAACCAGGTCTAATTTTAACCATTTATTGTATATTTGGTTTTATTGCAGTTATTTTTTGAAAGACTAATGCAGTATTTTTTGTATTTACTATACTTTCACTTTTATCTAAAATTTTTATAAGCCACTACTATAAATGAAAAATAATTTGACATGCCATATATTTAGTAAATATAATTAAAACATTAGCATTTAAAAATAAAGAACTATTAGTAATAATATGAGTGATTTATTAAAATATTTTCCTGAAAATAAGTTCCTCCCTAGGAAGAAGAGTATTTATGATCCGTCAGAAATAAAGAGACAATGGCTTTTCATTCATCTGTGGTCATTTGGTTATCAAAGTTTTATACAGATTTTGACATGCAGAATCACTTATATGTGGAATATAAAAAACAAAGGGTCAGACAGAACAAACCCATCACAAATCCTAGCAGTCTGACTGTAGAATTGAGGCTACTAGCGGGGCAGGGGCAGGTGGAGAGCAGGGTGTAGAGGGGGCCCTATGGACTCTGGTGGAGGATTATGGGTGCCTTGGTAGTGGCACATCTGAAGAGGTGTGATCCTTTATCTCTCAATCATAATGTTGTAAAAACAATGTTATCTCATTAAAAATAAACTCTGGAAAGACAATTCCATATCTGCCATTTTCATGATATTTTATTAGTCAGACACCAGTTCTATACCAGCTGCTACTGGATTCCTGTGGTGGAATCCATCAAGGAATTACCTTTCAGAACTGGCAGCAACCCTCTCATACCTGTGACTGGGCTTCGTCTATGATGAATTACCATGAAGTTGCTGCTACTGTCTTAACTTCTTGGCAGTTTTATTCATGAAACCAACTCTAGTTATACTTGTTCTTGCATATATATATATTTCTAAATGTTGAATACTCAGCTATTGAAACAAATATTCATGGACTAGCTAAAATCACCTTGCATACCATTGGCATGCCTTGCACAATTTTTAAAGCCATCCTGATTTGGTCTCCATGGATGTTAAAATATCAATAGTATTTGAAAGACCACGAAGAATTTTTTTCCTTCCAATATTTGGCAAAATTTTTAGATATGCAGTCTGTAAAATAAAACCACATCTTCCCTTTATCTTTTGAAGAGTTCAGGGACTTTTTATTATTGGATTACAACTGTATTTTTCTGAATTTTGTCACAAGATTACAAGCTGTAGTTCCAAAATCAAAAGCTAAAACACCAGCAATCTTTGCTGTTATCACTGGTGGTGGTGGTGATACTAAATCTAAATTTTTTTAAAGGAAAGTAATTTTTTAGGAAACAAAATAATGCTTATTGTCAGCCAGACTGGGCAATTTGGATATAAAAGTGAATTAAATAGGCATAATTCCTACCTGTTTGAAATTTAAAGTTTCTTGGGGGAAGACAGTGGCAATAATAAATTGTCACAATTTTTGTCTTTGATTTTAAGTAAGCATCATGAGGATAAAGCATCGGGGCATAGAGCACATCATCTATGAGCATGCGTAAAAAAAAGAGTAAGCTCAAGATTTGGGGTTAAATGGGCCTCCCTGGTGGCGCAGCGGTTGAGCGCTGGGTTGTGAAGCTGCCCGCAGCCTCTGCAGCTCCGGTTCGATCCCTGGCTGCTCCCCGGCCACCGGAGGAGGGTCCCGCATGGCGCGCAGACCTCTCCTGCCGCCCGCTGCTCCCCTCAGCAGTGTACTTCGGTCCTTCTGCCTGCTCTGCTCCCCGCTCTGGCTCTGGTGAATTCTCTCACCCTCCGCGCTTCTGACTGTACCCAGTGCTTGTATAAATAAATAAATAAATAAATAAGCAAATGAATAAATCTTTAAAAAAAACCTGAATACCTTTAAAAAAAAAAAGATTTGGGGTTAAAGACAGGAGAAATTTGGAGATCATATTTGTTGAGTGCTACTGTAAGGCAGCCCCTTGTTCTAAATACAATTTTTCACCATTAAATTACTTTAAAAATCTGTTAAGAGGTACTTTCTACATTTCATTGTTGAGGAAATAGGTTCGGAAACTTGCCCAAGGTCACAGTAGTGGAACTAGACTATGAACTCAGGTATATTCTAAATCGAAAAAGAATGCTTTATAGTGTGGCAACGTGAAAGGAAGAATTTAGTTCCTATGCTGGACACCCTGGGAAGAGATTTGTTGCCTTGTGGATACAGGTTGCCAAGTTCTCTTAACAAAGCTAATATGACTGAGATAAAGAATGGCTGAACTAGGAGAAAGATGGCTGGTTCAGAAAACTGATCCCAGAAGTGGCTTTATCTAGAGTAAAGATGAGAATTCAGTGCTTATAAATCAGGAGAGAGGGAACAAACAGTTAAATCTTCTCATTTTAGACCTGAATGGGATCTTAGAAAATTTTGTCAAAATTTATGCAGGTAAGCTCAGCCTGCTTTTATCTTCCCTATACATTAATCACCACATCCCAGTCACGGAGTTCTGAGGAATTTCAGACACAGAAGCACTATAGGAAATTGCACAATTTAATTGAGTTTTTCCTTCACACCATGGGGGAAATATGCATTAAGAAATGGGAATAGAGAGTAATGTATGAGACAGGCCCATAAACTCTTGGCTAATTAAGTATTCATATTCAAAATTACAAAGCAGAATTTTGCTAGGAAGTTGAGAAAAACATCCTTGTAAGTTATCTTTATTGTCCTGCACTTTTCCTCATTAAATGCTGCCTGCTAGTGAGTACAGTGCTGCCCTGTATTTTTTATTTCATTAAAGATGCAAACCTTGAGTGCCTTGAGCAGGCAGTATCCCAAATTTTATTTTGGATAACCTTGTTACTCAAATTTTGATCTTGTTGAAATTAGCAAATCTTGGGTCTACAGTTTCCAACACCATAGTAATTTTTTTTTTTTTTTTTTTTTGGTATTGATTAGAACCAGTTTAGAAAGGGCATTTGCTAAATTTATCTTAAATATATTTTCATTCCTAGGACATAAGCCATTAGCTAGGTAACTGCTTAATTCCAAGTTATGTGAAAATAGCTGATAGGGTAAAATTAATGTTTGCTTTCTTGATTCTGTACAAAGTTAACAATAGTTTTTGATCACATTGTGTTAGTTATTCCTTTTACTTACTACAGAGATTGTCCAAACACGTGTCATTTTTTCTGCAGGCACTGCAAGGGGCTCCTTTTTTATAAGGCCAAGTTGGGTAATTTCCCCTGTAAAAGAAGAATGCTATTAATTAGAAGTTTGTGGGGTTTTTTTTTTTTGTTTGTTTGTTTGTTTGTTTGTTTTGGCAATTGCAGTTTACTGCAAGTCCTTGCCTGAATCCAGAAGAAAAGCAAGACAAATAGATTCAGAGGGTTGCTAAGAGAAGTAGAGAGAAGGAAGCAGAAATAGAAGCCTGCTGATATTTGCAGAATTCATTCTGTGTGTCTCTGTTACAAGTCTGTCTTATTTCATGTCATTTAATTACAACCCTGGAGGGAATTTTTTTTTTTTTAACAGATAGGGAAACTAAGACCCTTAAGAAATTAAGTAACTTGCCAGAAATGACAGTGTACCCAGCAGAGTCAGAATGAAACCTTGATTTGGCTGTATCCAGGGTAATGCTCCCTCTGCTTGCTGTCTGGCCCAGATGGTTGCCACCATCTAAAATGCTATCTCTGAAAAACTATGAAGACCTACATTTACTCTCCTCTCCTCCATGTAGCAAGTCCCCATAGTTTGCATTGTCTAGAAGCCATTTGGTTGGGTTTAGTACCTTCCAAAAGGAAAAGAGATATGGAGGACTTTCTAAAGTGCAACTTGTGCACATAAAAGTGCACATAAAAGATGTGATAAGAGAGAATTACAAAATTCTTATGCTACCACATATGCTAAGTATCCTTGAATGAAATAATCTTCACAATAGCCCTGTAAGGAAGATCCTGTTATTTATCCCCATTCTTTTTTTTATTTTTAAAGATTTATTTATTTATGCATTTAAGAGTGGGGTACAGGCCAGAGGTGTGGGGGGTAAGAGGGTTCACCAGAGACAGACTTGGGAACAGATAGGCAGATTGACCAAAGTACACTACTGAGGGGACCAGCAGGCGAGTCAGGAGAGGTCTGCTGCGCCATGTGGGTTGGTCCCTGGCCGGCCAGGGATTGAACTCGTGCTGTGGTGGTCACGGATTGCTTCATAGGTTGCGCCTTAACCCCTTGCGCCACCAGGAAGGCTCTATATATCCCCATTCTATAGCTAGAGACTGAGCCACACACAGAGTATAAGTAATTAACCAAGATTACAGATTAGAAAGGAAAGAATATCCATTTTACATTCTTGTGAATATTTTCAAAGTAGTAATGATGAGAGACTATATACGGATTTCAATTATCCTACTACTGTATATTTGGAATCATATTTGGAACTTTGTTTTAGGAAAAGAGTTCTTGACTTTTCTGTGTCACAGTAATCTTTGGTTGCCTGGTCGAACCTATGGACTTGTTCTCAATTTAGATCTTTTTAAAATGCATATAGTCAGCTGATCAACATGGCAGTGAAGAAACACTACGAGTAAGTTCTCCCATTAAAAACAACTGATAGGGAGAAAAAGTGGCAGGCCTCTGTGAGAACTGGTACATGTAAGATAAACTGGTGACCCTGGCAATCTACTCAAAGAGGAAAGTTGCAATAACAAAGGACAAGAAGAGAGGAAAGCATCAGAACCCTGCCACACTCCCACACCCACAAAGCCTGCACACTTACATGAACAGAAAGGAGAAAAAAAAAAACTAGAGACCAAGCAGGATAGTGTGCGGGAAGGAACTACTGCAGGCACCACACCCCGTGACCTGGAACTGTGGGGAACTGCCACTGAGGTAAGCTACCAGCACAAGGTAATCACAAACCTGGCACCATCATAGGAAGTTAGGGATTCCGTGGGCCACACCTAGGGCAGAATAAGGGAGAGATCTGCAAATAACCAAAGGCTAGCTGGTAAGCTTGCATGGATAAGTGCAGGCACGAAAAGAATGCGTGGATCATGGCTGCTCAGGTTGCTGTGCCCACAGCCTAGGACTGTGGGGAGATGCGTGGGAGCCACCACTGAAATGAATGACCTGCGTAATCCAAAACCTGGCACCCAGGCATGGGATCAGGACACAGAAGGAGCCATATTTGCGGTCACAGAACTGGGCTATCACCCACATTCCGGATCTGAGTGCTTCGGAACTGAGAACTGGGGCACAAAATTTGGGGCATGGGATCCCTACAATAGCAGGGCTGGGGCAGACACAGCACCCAGCACTGTTGAGGCACTGCACTGCCTCTCCTCCCCTCTGTTCCTGTAGAGACCTACAGGAAAAAGCATAGTTCTGAAAGGATACTAGGAAAGGTCTCTGGTGCTACCTAGTGATCAGAACAAAATCACCAACTACCTGATAGTTGGACATCAGGGACTCCAAAATGACCCTCGGGCTCTGAAGGGGTGGGTCATGCAAACAGGGGTGAGAAGGGAAATGAGGCACAGAGCAAGACTACTGAAGGCTCCACACGTCAGCGCACATTTTGGAACTGAGGGCTGGGCACAGGATCCAGGCTGTGGGACATGCCATAACAGCGGACAGCACACAGGGTGACAGCCAGCGTTTGGGAACTGAGCTAGGGCACAGAATTCAGGGCGTGGGGTCCGCACAGCTGCAGCATAGCACTGGGTAAGCACAGGGCAAACACAGAACCCAGCATGAGCAATAGCCCCTGTGTTGAGGTGCTCCCCTCTTTCCCTCCATTTACCAGAGAACTACTGGGAAAAAGTGCAGGTCTGAAAATACAGGTCTCTGGTACCACCTAGTGATCAGAACAAAATCACCAACTACCTGATAGTTGGAAGGCAGGGACTCCAAGACTCCCTTCTGGAACTGAGTAAATACAGAGGGAGGGAACCCTAAAGGACAGCGCCCAGCAACATAGCCACAGCATCACTACCATGGTGGAGTTTTGTCCTAAAAGTACTGGACTCAGTCTGGTAAACAGTTTCCAACACCCCAGAAGGAGCACCCCAAAGAGATGCCTGCCAATACCAGTGGCACAACATCCCAACACATAGAACTAATTAGAAAGTGAACAGCAGGGAGAAGGAAAAATTATAAATAACCAAAGAAGCCCTCAGGGGAAAGACACACCACAAAAAGAAATTCAGCCACCAGAACTCAACAACAATGACATGGAAGAACTTCTCTGCCAGATAGAGAATTTAAAATCGTCATGATTAAAAAGCATAAAAAAGATGAAAAGAGAATGAAATGAGTAAAATAATTAATGAACTGAAGAATGAAATTGAGTCCCTAAAGAAAGAAATGAAAGAAACGCAGATCATCAAAAGATCAATGGAGCTGCTAAAGAGCTCTGGGAAAAGCAATGAAAACAGAATCGATGAAATGGAAGAATGGATCAGTACTCTTGGAGATACAGAAAAAGAACCAAAAAAGAAAAGGAGAGAGAAGTACAAATGAAGAAGAGGAGGAGAGAGACAAAGGAACCAAGAAATTATTCAAGGAGATAATTGGAGAGAACTTCCCAAACATGAAAAAGGAGATGAATATAGACACAAGAAGCAAGAACAACACCAATGAAAATAAAACTACAGCAAGACACATAATAGTGAAGCTTGCAAGAGTACAGGACAAGAGTACAAGACAAGGAAAAAGATAATGAAACTGACAAGGGGGAAGAAACAGATAACCTATAAAGGAAAACCAATCAGGCTGACATCAGATCTCTCTGAAGAAACACTATGGCAAGAAGAGAATGGAGTAACATATTCAACAAACTTTAAGACAGCAATGCCAACCAACAATACTTTATCCTGCAAAGCTCTCCTTCCTCTATGAAGAAAAAATAAGGACCTTCTCAGACGAACAGAAACTCCAGAAATTCATTACAACTAAACCTCCACTCCAAAAAATTCTACAAGTCCTAAAGCCAAAACTGACAGAGGAATGAATAAGAATAAAGCAAGGAATAAAATCACATTTTTCTCAAGAGCACACAGATCATTCTCCAGAATTGATCCTATACTGGGCCACAAGACAAACATCAACAGATACATTAGATCAAAATCATTCCAACTCTCTTCTGTGATTGTAAAGGCATCAAACTAGAAATAAATCAGGAAAGAAAACAAGGAACCCTCCCACTCCATGGAGATTGAAATCCACACTACTGGAAGACCACTGGACTAAAGAGGAGATCAAAGAAGAAATTAAAAAAATACTTTGAGTTGAATGACAATGAGGACAACAATTTCCAGAATGTATGGGATGCAGCAAAAGCAATAAGAGGAAAATATATAGCAATACAGGCTCACATCAACAAACAAGAAAGAACTCAAAGAAACAACCTGATCTCAAAGAACTAGAAAAAGAACAACCAAAATAACCTAAAACCAGTAAAGGAAATAATAAAAATCAAAGCAGAAATAAGCAAAATAGAAAATTAAAAAACAATCTAAGAGAAAAATGAAACTAAAAGTTGGTTCTTTGAAAAAATAAACAAAATAGGCAAACCCCTAGCCAGGCTCACAAAGAAAAATAGGAGAAAACATAAATAGGATCATAAACAAAAGAGGAGAAATCATAACAGGCTCTGTTGAAATCAAAAGAATAATCAGATTATTATGAACACTTTTATGCAAACATTCAACAACCTAGAAGAGATGGACAAATTGCTAGAATGATATAATAATCTAAAGCTAGATAAAGAAGAAACAGAACACCTAAACAGACCAATTACAAGCAATGAAAATGAAGCAGTAATCAAAACCCTCCCCAAAAACAAAAGCCCAAGACCAGATGGCTTCACAAATGAATTCTACCACATGTTCAGAAATGAATTAGTGCCTATCCTACACAAACTCTCAAAAAATTGAAAAAGAAGGACTACTACCAAATATGTTCTATGAAGCCAGCATTACACTAATACCAAAACCAAACAAAGACAACACACAAAAGAGAAAATTATAGGCCAATCGCCCCACTGAACACTAATGCAAAAATCTTCAACAAAATCCTTGCCAACAGAATCTAACAATGTATCAAAGAGATGATACACCACAATCAAGTGGGAATTATCCCAGGGGGAAAAGATTAGTTCAACATATGAAAATCAATTAATGTAATACAACACATCAATAAAAAGAAAAATAAAAACCATATGATCATATCAATAGATCCTGAG